CCCTCCCTCATCAGCCCAAAGAGCAATCAGGGTTCTCTGCCCTGTGGGAAGTCCAAGGACCACCCTCCTCCATCCAGGTCTAGTAAGGTGAGCATCCAAACTGCCTAGGCTCCCACAAAGCCAATACGTGCAGTAGGATCAAAAACCCATTGCCATTGTTCTTGAGGTCTCAGTAGTCCTCATTGTCCGCTATGTTCAGCGAGACCGGTTTTAACCCAGGCTTTTTCAGACCCAAGCCATGGATTCTTTGCTAGATTTAGAGTATCAGACAGGTTTCCACTTGCCAAGTGGGACTTGCCTCTAATAAGCAAGACATTGGTTTCCCCTTAACACTCAGGCATGGCGCATCTATTCACTACCTGCTTGATTTCTTCACATCCTGTGCCCACCTGTATCGGCCTTAGTACCAAGTGTTGGTGGGCAACAGAGAGCAATGACAATGCCGTCTACTATTTGGGGGAGGCCTCTGCTCCCACACCTTTCTTTCGCATGTTTTAATTAAGTAAGTGAAAAGTTCTCACAACAAGTCAGACTTTGAAAAGCTGGCAAGTAGAACAGTATGTATCAGAAGTAAAATCAGAACAGAAGTATTAAATATCACATTTCTCAGTCTAACAAGGCTAAAATGGGGTGGATGTTAACCAGATAATTGAAATATGTTTGGGGGGGGGTTCAGTGAGTGTTTACTGTGTAAGTGTGAGAACTGAGTTTGATCCTAATTACCCAGCATACACCTGTAATCCCAGTGCTGCTGGTGGTGGGGCACACATGATGCAGGAGAATCCCTGGGGCTTGATGACTTGGGGAATCGAGTCTGGTTGGTAAACTCCTGGTCCCAGTGAAAGACCCTTCATTAAAAAAAAAAAAAAAGAAGTGTATAGCTCTTGAAAGACAGTACTGGAAGTGACTCTTGAAAACAGTCACTCACTCACTCACTCACTCACTCACTCACTCACTCACTCACACACACACCACACAAACACACACACTATTTCATTTTTTAATAGAAAATTGTTTTGATTTTAGACCTGTGGAATCCCTGTATTGATGAGAACACAGTGGTCTGATTTCAGTCTTTCTTTCCCTTGGATGTAGGTGTGTCGTGACTAATAGTCTATAATAGGGGACTTACCTGGACTGAACTATTCATGAGAAAGCAGTTGGACTTTAAGCCAAGTAGAACCCAGACAGACAGAGTACTGAGCATGAGTTGGTGCCCTCTTAGCCTGTGCATTTCCTAGTCATGGAAAAAACCCCAGACTAGGCATACAACACTGATGGGAATAACAACTTGGCTTTCGGTTTCCTATGCCCACTGGAGCAAGCATATGTTCTAGAGAACTGGGAACTGGAAGGCTGTGAGCACCCCACTCCCCCGTCTAGAACCTGAGCTTAGACAGGGCTATGGAGCCAGGGTAGGGCTAGTGCCCAGGGCTGTGGGTGCCAGGACAGCTCTTCCTCCCCACCGTGGCAGGCATGGAGTGTGAACATCTGTGTGTTGTCAATCCCAGGATGCCCCGCTCTATCCAACTTGGTGTCTTGTTTGGAAGTGCTTGGCCAAGAAAGAGCCTCAGGGAAAATGAACTATGCAAAATTCATAGAGTAGCAGTGGTCTGTCAGGGAGACGTGGTTTGTGTACCCTAGGGAATATGAATTTGATCACCTCAGTCAGCTGGAAAACTTTCAAAGGGAATAAGGCAGACTCTCCTTTTATTTGAAAATAATTTTGAAAATTATGGCTTATATTGATATTTTTATTATAGGACATGCTTATAAGAGTCTCTCTCTCTCTCTCTCTCTCTCTCTCTCTCTCTCTCTCTGTGTGTGTGTGTGTGTGTGTGTGTATGTGTGTGTGTGTGGTGTCGGTAAATATGCCTGTGCTTACGTATTTGACTGCAAGCCAGAGGATGACCCCAGTTGTCATTTCTTGGGTGCCATCCACTTTTCTTTTCCTCCTCCTTTTCCTTCCTCCTTTGGTGTTTTCGGATTCACTATGACCTCACCCAGTGGTCTGTAAGCAGCCGCCCAGGACTCCAGCTCTCTCCCCTCTCCAGCCCTGGGTCTCCAGGCCTGACTTCCTTTATATAGGTCCCGGAGATTGGACCCAAGCTCTCATGCTTGCCTGACAAGCCCTGTGCTGACCGAGCCATTTCCCTATCCTAAGTTTGCATGCTTCTTTCTTTGAAAACCTTTTTGAAATTACATTTATTTTTATTTTTACTTCCATGTGTTGTGGGGGAGGGGGGCACACATTGTGTCATGTGGGAGTACCAGGGGACAACCTGGAAGAATTAGTTTTCTCCTTCTACGTTGTAGGTCCTGGGGATAGAAGCCAGGTCATCAGGTGTAGTAAGAGGAGCGGCGGGCTGCGTCCCTCCACCCAGCTAGCTTAACCCCTGAAATAACCACATGGAAATTGTATTCATTAAATCACTGCTTGGCCCATTAGCTCTAGCCTCTTATTGGCTAACTCTCACATCTTGATTCAACCCATTTCTAGTAATCTGTATGTCACCATGAGGCCATGGCTTACCTGGGAAAGATTCAGCATGTCTGACCTGGCAGCTTCCTGGCGGGCAGCTCTCTGCCTGCCTTCTTCCTCCCAGAATTCTGTTCTGTCTACTCCACCCACCTAAAGGCTGCCCTATCAAAAGGCCAAGGCAGCTTCTTTATTCAACCAATGAAATCAACACAAATGCAGAAGGACCTTCTACACCAATCAGGCTTAGTGACAGATACCTTGGTCTTTTGAGTCATTGGTGGTCTTAAGCTTGTGTCTTTCTGAGAAGAAGGAAGGTATACCTATAATCATGTTTTAGTTCTAAGTTTGTGTAAGAGATTGGAGCGTAGCTGTGTTTACTGCTTTGTGGCAGCACACTCTAAGGTTTGTTAACTTTACAATATAAACAGAGCAAGACCGTGTCTCTGTGCACATGTGTCTCAATCAGTTAGCACATGTTACAAGCAGGGCCTTATTTTAAGACTGACCAGATCCTTTGTTGACCCATGTAGTTATCTGATTGTATGATTAAGATTTTCAAAACTCTGCCCCCCAAGTTGCAGCAATTTCAAATATAGCTTAGAGTCTCTTTGTTTTAGGCATGCTTCCTGAGGAAGAAAGGATGTGGCAGAGTGAGGCTGTGGGAGGAGAGAGATTGTGGCTAAGTTATGTGGACGGAGAAAGACGGTAAAGGGCTCGTCATTAGTCATTGGTTCTGTGACCTGCACTGGGTCAGCGTCTGCAGGTGTCATTCAGTCCGTGACTTTTGAATTCAAGGATGTGCCACTCCTAAATAATCTTAGGAGAAAATACACATAGCAGCATGCCAAATCTTGTCTCCATACAGAGGTCAAGTGGATGTGGGGTGGATGTGGGGCTGTTGTTTTCAGCGTGGATTTCGATTTGTCTCAAGAGTGTGATTAGTTGGGGAGAGAATTTGTATTTACCTTTATGAAAATGTCCCTTACTTTCCCGTGTCTTCTGAATGAATCTAGGTTTCCCTAAGTTATTTTGTTTGAATTTTATTGCTACCATTGAGTCACACCCCCAGCTCCATGGCTATCTGTGTTAAAATTTAATCTCATTAACTTGTGTAGCTTCACTCAGAACCGCACTCAATCAAGATTTCCCCTCCCACATCCTGGAAAGGTTTCTGGAAAGTCCCAGAAGGTATTCTGGGCAACAGCCACCTGCTTGCTATAGGCTGGGCTGACTTATCTTCCTAGGTCCTTTGTCCTTCTCATCCTCCACTTCACTTTATATAAGACACTTAGACACCACCATCTTGTCTGAGCAAAGAGAGCCACAGCAGCTCCTTCCTGCCCTGGGCTCTAGTCTTCCAGGCTCTTAACCTTTTGCTGTTGAAATAACCCATTGCTAGGAAAGAAGGCGACAAAGTCTCTGAGGACAGTAGTGTTCCGATAGGCCACGGAGGTCTCTGGGGCTAATAGTCTGGTTTAAACTGTTAACGAACAGTCTATTTGAAGACATGTAGAAGTAATCCATTAACTCGGGTTTGTTGCTGAGTAACTATGTGATTCTGGGCAGGACCTCTTATAAATAATAGATAATAGAGTTCTTTTTTTTTGTTTTGTTTTGTTTTACAAGACAGGGTTTCTCTGTAGCTTTGAAACCTCTCCTGGAACTCACTCTGTAGACAAGACTTGTCTACCTCTGCCTCCCAAGTGCTGGGATTAATGGCATGTGCCACCACCACCCAGGCAAATAATAGATTTTTTTTTAATGAGATATCTTGGGCTGGGAGTGTAGCTCCGATGGTAGAGTCCTTGCCTAGCAAGTACGAAGCTCTGGTTCAGTCCACAGCACCTTATAAAATGAGGAGAATTATTGAATACAGGTAATCCCAGAGCTTGGGAGGTACTGAGGGGAGGACCAGAAGGAGGGAGTGTGAGGCTGGTCTGGACTGTATGAACTTGTCTCAGTCAATCAGTCACTCAGTGAGCAGATTGTTTTTCTATAGGAAGTGTGAGTTGTTTAATTTACAACCACTCCCAACTTTGCAGTTACACCAAGTTTAAATAATAGATAAAAGTTATTATGTTTAGGCCAGGCATAGTGGGTCACACCTCTAATCCAAGTACTCAGAAGGCAGAGGCAGGTGGATCTCTGGGTTGGAGCTCAGCTTGCTCTTTATAGTGAGTTTCAGGTCGGCCAGGGCTGCATAGTGAGACCATGTCTCAAAAAACAACAAAAAGATTATTTTCTAAAGTCAAATTGACAGATGTTTTAAGTTAAGAAGCATGTTGTTTTCCTTTGCAGCTGGACAGGGTTAGAACCCAGAGTCACTGTCTCTGTTTCCTTTCATCGCCCGATGAAGGTTAATATTCAGGAGGATGCCTATATATTTTTCTTTGGGTTCACCTTCTTATTTAGCTTCTCTAGGATCACAAATTATAGGCTCAATGTCCTTTATTTATGTCTAGAAACCAAATATGAGTGAGTACATCCCATGTTCCTCTTTTTGGGTCTGGCTTACCTCACTCAGGATAGTGTTTTCTATTTCCATCCATTTGCCTGCAAACTTCAAGACAGACCCACATTGGAGCACCGGACTGAAATCTCAAGGTCCAAATCAGGAGCAGAAGGGGAGAGAGCACGAGCAAGGAACTCAGGACCGCGAGGGGTGCACCCACACACTGAGACAATGGGGATGTTCTATCGGGAACTCAACAAGGCCAGCTGGCCTGGGTCTGAAAGAGCCTGGGTTAAAACCGGTCTCGCTGAACATAGTGGACAATGAGGACTACTGAGACCTCAAGAACAATGGCAATGGGTTTTTGATCCTACTGCATGAACTGGCTTTGTGGGAGCCTAGGCAGTTTGGATGCTCACCTTACTAGACCTGGATGGAGGTGGGTGGTCCTTGGACTTCCCACAGGGCAGGGAACCCTGATTGCTCTTTGGGCTGACGAGGGAGGGGGACTTAATTGGGGTAGGGGGAGGAAAAAGGGAGGCCGCGGTGAAGAAGAGACAGAAATCTTTAAAAAAAAAAAAAAACCAGATTCACGCATGCTAGACAAGCACTCTACCAGTAAGCTATACCCGATTCTCTATTTTTGCTTTCTGATGTTATGTCTGATTTGTGCAGAATGGCCTTGACTGTGCTCTGTAGCTTAGGCAAACCTTATACTTGTAATCTGTTGTAGGGAGGCCCCTTGTTTGTTCCCTGCTGCCCAGACTTGAAATAATCACACAAATCTGTACTAATTAAATCACTGCTTGGCATATTAGCTCTAGCTTCTTATTGACTAGCACTTACATTTTAATTTAACCTATTTCTATTATTTTATATTTTACCATGAGGTTCATGGTTTACTGGCAAGTTTCCAGTGCATCTGTCCCTGGTCGTGGCTACATGGTGCCTCCTGACTCTGCCTTCTTTCTCCCAGCATTCACTTTAGTTTTCCATGCCTAGTTCTACTCTTTTGCTCTATCACAGGCCAAGGCAGTTTCTTTATTCATTAACCAATAAAAGCAACACATATACAGAAGGACCTCCCACACCAGTAATCTTCCTGCTTCAGCCTCCCAGTAATCTGAGTTTACAGGCTTGTGTCAACAGGCATTGAGAAATAACATGTTGCAAATCCAAGTTGTTAGGAAAACAAAACCAACGGGGAATGAAGAAAAAAATCTGTGAGGACTTCTTCCTCCACCTCCTTTGGGTCCTTTATTCCCTCCTCTTCCTTCCTCCCCCTCTCTGTCTCCTGATTTGGCAGCAGCCTGAGGTATGAATACTCTCTGGATGGTTCATGAGAGCTATGTGGTGGGCATGGGGTGTAACAGTAGGTGGTGGTCAATGACAAGGGTAAGGACTTTGTTGGCAATTATGAGGCTATTATAAACACTGACTCCAGTCCTGGCAAACACCTTTAACAGTGCACAGTCTCCTTAGATCAGTCCCTAGGCTTTGAGAACAATCAATGAGGCAGGGTACAGATTCCTAGGGGTATCAGGGGTCCATCCAGAGTAGGACCCATGCAATAACTACAATTTCCTCGCCCAGCTGTGGGGCTGTGGTGAAGGAACAGAGCATTGCCATATACCAAACGATTGGTTGCTTTTGTTAAGGATGTGGGCATTTAAGTGGATTCCTCTCCCAACTTTGAACATAGGCAGTTCTAGCTTTGGAGGGAGAGCCACATTAGCTGAGAGCTGGAAAGAGCCTAGTCACTACCACAAATGTCTAATGAGAAGCAAATGCAAGTGAGGGAAAGAAAGAATGACACAGGGCTGCCGGGGATGGGTCAGCCAAGGGCACCGTGAGCCAGGGTGCAGCGCTGTTGCTGTTCCTATCCCTGCTACCACCTCCAAAGGCTTAGATACTTAGGTATCAGTGGACAATGCGCGGCATTCGTTTAAACCACAAATTACTCATGGCTTCCAAACTCCCATTAATTTCCAACACTCTTTGTTCTTTTAGCTTCCGAATGGGTAAAAAGAAACGGGATGTGTTCATCACACAGTTGTATTCTATCTCCACCCAGCTGCAGGCCAAGTGCTCCAGGAGTGGACTGTCCTGCATGTTAAGGGACGACGAGGATCCTTGGGACTCCACTGATGAAGAGACCAGGCACTGCTCGCAGGCTAAGAGGCAACTGTACCAGGTCATTGAAGAGGTAAGTACTCAGCAGGAACACGAAGTCAGATGACATAGACTTTTCAAATCTGGAAATCTGTATTTTGCAAATGAAGAAACGGAGTCCCAGAGAATTTGAATGATTTCCCCCAACATGGCGCAATATCTGACTGGTACCGGATGACACGGAAAGCCCCGGCTGACATTAGCCAGCTGCCTCCTGGAGTTTTGCATCTTCTTCTGGGAGCACACACACAGATAGCATGTGCTCACGGTTGCCCAGTGTTTCTTTGTTTTTATTTAGAAGACAAACAAGGCCAAATGATGGTGTTTTCTATTCATCCCACATGGGTGATTTCTAGAATTAAAAAACAAACCACTTCTTTTTCTTTGGCGTGTGTGCACATAAGATAGAATACTTTGAGAAGGTGGAGGTGAGGCGGTCTCGATTCATTGTCAACAAATGACAAGTTTGAAGATGCATCTGTTGACGCAAGGCCGCTTCACTGGGATCTCTGACAGAAAGCTCGGGTTGACTAACAGTTCATTTTGCAGAATGTGGTTAACTGATTTTACTTTTAGATTAAGTCAGTCAATTTCTTCACTGCCTGCTTCCTTCTTAGGAAGCTAGCATTTACAAATATTTGCCTTCTGCCTTTCTGAGAAGGTCAGATGGAGGCACCAATATTAAAAATATTCTGCAAACTAAGAGACCCATACTAGACATCACCGTTTAAGGTTATGGTGACTTCCCAGCGTGGGAGGAGGCTGTATGCCAGACAACCTTGGGAGTCTGTTGTGTTTTTCATGGACACAGTGCTGTTGGGGTGGTCAGGGCTCCAGTGTGTGACTTCAGTGATATCACAGTAGAGATGCAGAGTCCAGCCATCACCTGGAATATGGCTTCTAAGCCAAATGAACTGGGCTTCCATCTGGGTTTTCTGTGAGCACTCCCAGGCTGGGTGCCATTGTCAACAAACGTGCAGGAACAGCAATGAAGGTGACTACACAGGAGGTCTAGCAAAAGCCCAAGCTTTGGACAGCTCTGGAGGAGCCTCAGACATGGGACTTCAAAAGCCCTTGACCTTAGGTGTTCAGTGGGTCATCAAGAAGAGAGACTTGTTTTATCCCATGCTTTTTCAGACCCAGGCCAGCTGGCCTTGGTGAGTTCCCGATAGAATATCCCCATTGTCTCAGTGTGTGGGTGCACCCCTCGTTGACCTAAGTTCCTTGCTCGTGCTCTCTCTCCTTCTGCTCCTGATTTGGACCTTGAGATTTCAGTCTGGTGCTCCAGTGTGGGTCTCTGTCTCTGTCTCCTTTCATCGCCGGATGAAGGTTAATATTCAGGAGGATGCCTATATGTTTTTCTTTGGGTTCACCTTCTTATTTAGCTTCTCTAGGATCACGAATTATAGGCTCAATGTCCTTTATTTATGGCTAGAAACCAAATATGAGTGAGAACATCCCATGTTCCTCTTTTTGGGTCTGGCTTACCTCACTCAATATAGCGTTTTCTATTTCAGTCCATTTGTATGCAAAATTCAAGAAGTCATTATTTTTTACTGCTGAGTAGTACTCTAATATGTATACATTCCATACTTTCTTCATCCATTCTTCCATTGAAGGGCATCTAGGTTGTTTCCAGGTTCTGGCTATTATAAACAATGCTGCTATGAACATAGTTGAGCAAATACTTTTGTTGTATGATAGGGCATCTCTTGGGTATATTCCCAAGAGTGGTATTGCTGGGTCAAAACCGGACTCGCTGAACATAGTGGACAATGAGGACTACTGAGACCTCAAGAACAATGGCAATGGGTTTTTGATCCTACTGCACGTACTGGCTTTGTGGGAGCCTAGGCAGTTTGGATGCTCACCTTACTAGACCTAGAGGTGGGTGGTCCTTGGACTTCCCACAGGTCAGGGAACCCTGATTACTCTTCGGGGGGAAAAGGGGGGGGGTTTTTTTGGGGGGGGGGGGAGGGAAATGGGAGGTGGTGGCGGGAGGAGGCAGAAATCTTTAATAAATAAATAATAAATAAATAAATAAAAAAGAAGAGAGACTTGAACTAATCTGGAGGCTGGGGTGCTAGAGCGTGCAAGGTCTGGAATCTGGGGTGCTGGAGGATGCAAGGTCTGGAGGCTGGGGTGCTAGAGTGTGCAAGGTCTGGAAGCTGGGGTGCTAGAGCGTGTAAGGTCTGGAAGCTGTGGTGCTAGAGGGTGCAAGGTCTGGAAGCTGGGGTGCTAGCAGGTACAAGGGCCAACCATGGAGAGGTGATAAGGGACAGTGATGATGGATGTCTATGTCACTCTCCACTAATTCCCTCTCATCCTCCCAGACTCATTTTTATGGACCAGAGTAGAGAGAAACAGGGAGGGAGAGGACGGAGGGGGTGGATGTGAGTGTAAGTGAGAAGAGGATTCCCTGTTCCACTAGGCATGATGAGTCTTCTGTTTCCTCTAAACATCCGCCCATTTCGAACAGCATTCCATTGAATTCTGGGAGCAGCCCCAAGGAAGGAATAATTGCCATGCTTTTAAACACATTTTCAAACAGATATAAAGTCATCTCAGCTCAGATCAGTTAAGCTGGTTAAACCTTCTTAAAGAGCTGCAGAGCGGGCTTGACTCATGGTCACCTGACCTGCCTGCAGTCATTCTTGTAGAATGACCCTTTCTCCCTTACTTGCTGTCTTCTCCCTATCCCTACCTCCCTTTCCTTTCCTCTGCTGTCTCTCTTGCTCCTTTTCCTTTCTCCCTCCTCCTTCCTTGCTTCCTGTCCTAAAATAAGAGAAAGGAAGAGAAACAGGAAAGAGAGGGTGAGCTTTCAAATCCACTTTTTCTCTTTGTCCCTTCTCCAGAGCCCTTGGGACCACTGCCAATAAAGGCTCACAGTTAGGTCTAAGGAGAGGGAGAGACAGAGCGCCTCTTCTTTCTGGCACATGCGCATGACTGGTGTGTCTGACTTTCACAGTGATGAGGCAGGAACAGCATAGACATAAAGAATGACAAAGGATAAATGAGGGTTTAGAGGTCATAATGACTCCAAACAGGCTCTGCTCCCCAAGCAGAACGAGGCAGAGTTCCCTTTTATGCTGGCTTTCTCCACTAGTTGCCACAAAGGAAAGGGGTGTCATGAGATCTCCAGCAAGGTATGGGACTTCAATATCATTTCTTGGAGCATGAACTTAACATTATCAACAGTAGAGAACAGCAGGGTGGTGCCAATCAGACATCCATAGAGCAAGCATGTCTGTGGGCATCTGTGCCTTATGCCTTGCTTACACCCTGTGGTTCAGACATATCTGATTATTTTCAGCTGCTGGACTCTGTCTCTGTTTCCTCCGTGCCCCCTTACACGTGCACATTCATGCACACACGCTCCACACAGTGTGAAGGGACAGGGTTATCGTCAGCTTCCTGGAGGCCTGGAGCTATAACTGACCTAAGCAGGAGCTGTGCCCTTCCTTCTCAACTGCTCCAAGTGTCAATCAGAACTTTCAGACTGTCCTTTGGTCATGATCCACCCCAGATCCCCCAAAGATACCTATGCTTGGGTAAAAGAAGTTCTGTATGGATGTGATTGTATAACTATCCTGTCCCATGTTGGAAAGAGAATCTAGAAGCGTGTGTATTCTGTTGAACTTGTCGGGGTCTTAACAAGCTGTATTCACTGCTGTTTGCAGGTGTCTTTGAGAACCTTTGCGGAAACTGTTTCAACAACTCAAGGTAGTAAAATTTTGTTGTTCCTTTTATTTGCTAAAGTCTACTTCACAAGCTAAATAGCTCTCCAGTTCCTCTTGCTCCCATCCATACAAACCAATTAGGGCCTCTCTGCCCACTGTCTTCGTCTGTTTATTGGTTCTCTCTCTCTCTCTCTTCATAGCAAGGACTGGAAAGCTTGGGATTAACTTCATGACCTACTCACAGTCAGAACTTTATTCTTTATCTTATTTTTTTTTCATATGAAGTGTCATTTTACTTTGATTTCTTCACTTATTTAATTATTTAGCTTTCTAGTATGCTATAAACAAACCAGGTTTAGTATCATCTAGAACTTGGCAGGAAGTAAAAAAGACAAAATCCCCCAAAGATTACTCATATTTTCTGCCTCTGACCACAATGCCTTTCTTCACTCTAAAGCCCCTCACTGCCTCACTCCTTCCCCCAGCAAACTATCTCTACCTGTGATCTCCGTTGTGGTTTCTGCTGGAGACCACAAGCTCACCATCCTGCCAATGACCAGCAGACTCCACACCAGTTCTTGTTGCATCCCCCGCAGACTGGCTTCTCCAACCTTCCATCTGCGCCCCCCCCCACTCCTAGTTAGTCACAGCATCCTCTGCAGGCTGGCTTCTCTAATCTTCCATCTGCCCCCCCCCACTCCTAGTCAGTCACAGCATCCTCTGCAGGCTTCTCCAACCTTCCATCTGCCCCGCTCCCCCCGTCAGTCACTGTTAGGCGCCATTCTGTAACATGGAGGGGCCTGCTTGTTGTTTGGGTTTCTGTCCCTCCCGATACCCACAACTGTTTTTCCCCAAAGAAAATCACACATAGGTCTCCATAAATTATAAGTTGATTGGCCCATTAGCTCTAGCCTCTCACTGGCTAACTCTCACATCTTGATTAACCCATTTTTCTGATATATGTTACCCATGTGGTTCAGTACCTTTTTTCAGCGGGCAGATCACATCCTGATGCTTCGGTGATCTGGGCAGGAGTGGGAGGAATCAGCTTCCTCCTTCCCAGAATTCTCTTGCTCTGATTACATCATTTCTACTTCCTGTCTGGTTTTCCCACCTATATTTCCTGCCTGGCCAATCAGCATTTATTTAAAACATGATTGACAGAATATAGACAATTCTCCTGCACTACTTCCCCCTCTTTAAAAAAAAAAAAAAAAAAAAAAAAAAGGAAAATATCCATAGTCCATTTTTTGGGAATGTGGGTGTAGTAATCCAGGCTATGCCCTCCCCAGGCTGGCTTCTCTAACCTTTCATTTGCACCTCCCTCTCCTGACTAGGGCTCTTCTCACTACTTCATGGCTGTTTTGCTCACAGATTTCCTTTCTTGGACCATTTCTAAGTCAGTTCCCCTGCATCTTATTATTCCCATCACACTTCCCTTGATCATCTCATTGCATTTTTATACATAATTTTATCCATGTACTGTCTTCTCTTTTACCACATTGAAATAACTGTAAAGAAAATATTTGCCAAATCTTAACGGCATTCCTCACATCAGAGAAACGACAATCTTAAAATTCCTATTGAAGCATGTAAGATCCCGGATAGCCAAAGCAATCCTGAGCGAGAAGAGTGTTGCTGGTGGTGGCCTCTGGTTTTACTACAGAACCATAAGAGCAAACCAGACTGGTGCTGATGCAAACACAGACGTGGAGCTCAGTGAGCTGGGACAAAGGAAGCTGTCACAACCCACAGAGCTACAGATACTTGATTTTTGACAAAGATGTCGAAAATGCACCTTGGATAAAATTCTCTTCACCCAATGATGCACATATCCACACACAGAAAAATGGAACTCGACAAACAGCTCAGAATGGATTGAAGGCCTTGATGTGAAACTTGAAACTCTGAAACTCTCAGAGAAAAGAAGGTACAGACACGGGTATGGACTTTTCTAGAAAGAACTCCAGTCACGAAGATGCCACTACTGACAACAAGGCCTTCTTGAAATTAAAGCTCTTCTGTACAGCAAAGGATATAGTTTACTGAAGGGAAGGACAGCCTACAGAATGCTAGTCACACATATGACAAATGGTTAGTATCTAGACTACACACACATACACACACAACCTCACACGAGCACAGAACAAGAGCCCATATAACCTGATCAATAAATGAATAGACAGTTCTCAAATGATGAACCACAACTTCCAGTTACACAGGAAATAAATGTCCAACCTCACTAGCCATCAGAGAAATGTAAATGAAAACACCGCCATCCCATCTCACTGCAGTCAAAATGGCTGTTGGCGTTAAGAAAACAAGTAAAGCACACTGCTAGAGATGTGGATGAAAGGGTACCTTATCCGCTGCTGCTGGAAATGGAGAATAGTCCAGCCAATACAGAAAGAAGCACGGGAGTCCTCAAAGCACCAAAAACTAATCCTCTACACCAGCCAGTGTTTGTATAAAGGACACAAAATCATGACACCACAGAAACACTTGCCTGTGTAGCTCTATTTAAAACAGGTAAATGTGGCACTAATCTGGGTGTCCTATGACAGAGGAATTGCAAACGGTCAGGCAGTGTTTCCAACTATGAAGAATGAAGTTACATCATTTGAGGGAAAATGGATGCAAGTAGAGATATAAAGTGAATTAAGCCCACCCCCAAACACAATTGCGACATGCTTTCTGTTATGTGTAGCTCCTACACTTTATATAAGTAAACAAAATTATGTATGCATATATGACATGAAGCTCTATGGAACAAAGGCATTAGCAGAAAGCAGGAAGAAGGAGAGGGGTCTGTTCAGTGTATAGTGTTTATCTGTATGAAAATGTTCTTATTGAACACAAAGCCATGCATCATAAAAAATGAATATATAAAATAAGAAAATTAAAGGGTAAAAGTTTTGCTCCCAAATCTCTATAGTCTTGAAATGTTCTCAGATGCAAACTGGACTTGTCTATTGAATATTGAAAAGCAAAGTTCCAAGGGGTAGGTGCTGGTAATCATACATTACGTAAAAGCTGAGGCGAGTGTTGAATGGTACCTCAGCTTTGACCGTCGAGCATTCTACTCCAGCACATTGGAAGCTGTTCCTTTGGGTCCTAACGCTTTGGTGGTTGGAAATTAGTTCCTGTGGCTTTAGTGCTACTCAGTATATGAGAACCCTGAAAGAGTCAGGGGGTGTTCAGGTCATAAGACTTGGTAAACCGCTGTCTTTAGGATACTGTGGCACTTGCCTGGTTGTGTTTTTGTGGAGAGTGTGAGTGAAGCGTGTATAGTAGAACAGAGGACTGGGGTAGCACTGAGTTTATCAGACCACGTGACCCAATTTGTGATGCTTACTAATTTTCTCTAAAAAACATTAAGTTATATCACTGAAACTAAGTGTCATAATGGAACTCATGACTTTATACAATTAATCTAAGCCAATCAAAATACGTGAAGTAGGGGGCTATTTGCAAAGAGGGGGAGGGTCAGCAGGGGAAGGAGGGGGAGCAGAAGGTGAAGGGAGAGAACATGGCCAGAAGACAACATGTTGGGGGGAGGATGTATAACATTCCTATCCAAACAATTAAAATGAGAAGAAAAAAAAGACAAAATGTTACACCAAAACACACGACTTTGTGTATATGCTCATACAGTGGAAGAAAAGGAAGAAGTCTGCCCGGGTTCTAGGCCTCTGGGATCGGGGTGAACAGAGCAGCAGAGGCAGAGCATCCATCCTGTTCTCTACTCCCCAGGAGATCTGCTCCGCAATGACTCTCCCTGCACAGCCACCGTGCATCCTCCCACCCATACGCCACGCATCTATGCCTCTCCACCTTGCTTGTATTGCCTGGTTTTGCTCCCGGGCTTGTGACCTGGGAGCTGCACCAGTGCTTTCAACCTTGTAAGCTGCCTAGCAGCCTCCAGCTCCACTTCCTCTGCCTATCAAACCAGACCTTGACATAAGCTGGCACGAAGCACACACATCTCTTTGCACCGTCCAGTGTTCTCTCTTTGAAGGCAGATGAACATCACATCTTGTGTTCTGCTTCCTTCACATCAGACCTGAGTATCCCACTGGCCTGTCTTCTGCTCTGGGCCTCAGCTTTAGCTCTCTGGATATAGCTCTATTCCCTCCCTACCTTCTGTGTGCCTCTGCCTCCTGATTATTTGTGTCCTTCCTCCTTGTCTCAAGAAGGATGCCTGGGATAGATGTGGTGAGCATCTAGGCTTACAGGGATAGCTGACTGCAAAGGTCTTTACATCAAATCCTCAGCAAACCATCCCTGATAATATCCAACGAATAGGACTCTGTCCCTCCCTCCTCCTCTTACATGTTACCCCCATCCCTACTTCTCATAGGTAATTATTTTATTCTTTGGTATGTCTCAAAATATATCAAGTTCCTCAAGGGATCTCTCATAAAATATAGCAAATTCCTCGAGGACTTAGCGGAATCAATGGTTAATCTATGTAGTTCAATATAGTGTGGTATAATTTTTGATCCTTGCCAATATTTATTTGTTGATAGAATATAATTTGTCTTAACCAAATGTAAGCAGAAATGGGGTTTTGAAGCTAAATTTTAAAAGACGTGATTATATAGGATTTATGTGTGTGCAGGTGTGTGCCTGCCTTGGGAGGCCAAGAGAGGATGTCACATGGCCTCTCTAGCAGTCTCTGACTGTTCCCTTTAGATATGTCTCCCACAGAATGACCCTAGGCTGGCTGGCAGCCAGGCAACCTCAGTGACCCCTTTATCCCCATTCACTCCTCCCCACTGCGCTCACCTGGGGATACAGGTGTGTGGTGGTACCTTGGCCTTTAGGCGGGGGATGAGAGCCCCAACTCAGATCCTCATACTTGCCCTAAAACTGGAGTTACAGACAATTGTGAGCTGCCATGTGGGCGTGGGTTCAAACCCAGGCCAGTGTTCTTCACACTAAGCCACCTCTCCAGCCCCACTAAATGGACTGTCTTTTGAAAGGATAGGATCAGTTTGGAAGACACTGTGCTCAGGTCACCTGATCAGACACAGCTGTGTGAGCAGAGCAGTGTATTTAAAACTCTTTTGACAAGTGCTGATGTTTCTCTGTCTTGTGTCTTTCAGAAAAGCTAAGTATTAGCTATCCATCCGGAAGTGGAAAACCTCAGAGAGTGGCAGCTCACATTACTGGGATCAGTCGGAGAAGCTACTCAGCCTTAATGCCAAGTAAGATCATAAGAGCTGGAGCTGGCCAGCGGTGGGGCTGGGGCTGTCACACAAGGAGTTGATAACTCTCCTGCCTTAGGAAACTTAGGTAACTCTAGCTGGCCTTAGGACAAGTGTGTGAGAGAGAACATTGCTCCCAGACTCCCATTGGGCCACCTTCCCTGCTGCCCTTACTTCTTCTTGTGTCTCTCCCTCCCCCTCCTATTTCCCCCACTGCTGTTTTCTTTCTCTTCTTTAACTGAAACAGTAGTTCATTGGAGCCTAGGCTGGCTTTGAACTTCAGATTTTTTGTCTTAGGCCCCCAAGGACTGAGATAGTATGTATCAACACACCCAGGTTTTTTCTCCATCTTTAAAGTTCCTCTCTCTCTCTCTCTCTCTCTCTCTCTCTCTCTCTCTCTCTCTCTCTCTCTCTCTCTCTCTCTCTCTCTCTCTCTCACTTTCAAATCTCTTCCTTCTCCTCAAAAGTTTAAATGTACAGCACTTCTTTTCTCCTCAAGGCACTGGGATCTCCTGCCACAGGGAAGTGCCAACCTTTGGTGTGTGGGGTGTGACGTAGCTGGCAAATGAGATACTGAAAGGTGACAGCAGATCAAAATGGTACAGGAGTATCCCAGTGTCAATGTGATTACAAAAGTCTTTGTAATCCATGTCGGACTGGAAGGGTAAGACGCTGGTTTTGATCAACGCTGTGTGCAAGCTCAGTGAATATATTGACTGCGCTGAGCAGCTGGCAACCTCACTTTGACGCAAGCTCCCTGCTGCTGTTTCTCTCATTTTCTCGTAGTGACCAAGGATGGAAAGACCTTGGGTCAGAAGATAGAATCCTGGGAGTCATCGAGGAAAGGGCATTCATTCCTCAACTATGTGCTCTTGAGAAAAGGAGAGCTGGTCATCCAGAAGCAGGGCCTTTATTTCGTCTATTCCCAGACGTACTTCCGGTTCCAAGAGAATGAAGTTGACTCCAAGACGGTCTCAAGGCAGGGAGGGAAAAACAAACAAATGGTACAGTACATCTACAAATACACCAGCTACCCAGACCCCATTCTGCTGATGAAGAGTGCCAGAAACAGCTGCTGGTCCAGGGATGCAGAGTACGGGCTGTACTCCATTTATCAAGGGGGGCTGTTTGAGCTTAAAGAAAATGACAGGATTTTTGTCTCCGTGACAAATGAGCATTTGATGGACCTGGACCAAGAAGCCAGTTTCTTTGGAGTCTTTTTAATTAACTAAATGATCTGCGAAGATCAGACAGAATTCTATGCCCAGTCACCTAGGGTGATGTCCAGGACTCAGGTTGTCCTGAGAACAACCTCATGTTTCATGTGGAAGTCAAAGCTCCATGTTTCTGCTGACTGTAAGGGGCAAGGAAACTACTTTTACAGTGGTATTGTTGACTGAAGACACACAGCTGAGAGTCACAGAGGGCTTCTCTGACAACCCCTAGAAACTACTAACAGCCTAGACAGGAAGGCACTGAAGTTCTCTTAAAAAAAATTGTGGTAAGGTATTTGTGGCTGTTGTGAAAGGTGATGTTTCTCTGATTTTCTTCTCAGCTTCTTTATCCTTTGTGTATAGGAGGACTACTGATTTTTTGAGTTGATCTTGTATCCTGTAGAGTTTTTGGGGTCACTTATATACACTATCATATTATCTGCAAATAACAAAAGTTTGACTTCTTCCTTTCCGATTCAAATCCCCTTGATCTCCTTATGTTGTCTTATTGCTATTGCTAGAACTTTAAGCACTATATTGAAGAGGTATGCAGAGTGGACAGTCTTGTCTTGGTCCTGATTTTAGTGGAATTGCTTTGAGTTTCTCTCCATTTAATTTGATGTTATCTGTCGGCTTACTGTATATTGCTTTTACTATATTTAGATATGATCCTTGTATCCCTAATCTCTCCAAGACCTTTATCATAAAAGGTGTTGAATTTTGTCAAATGCTTTTTTTGGCGTCTAATGAAATGATCATATGTTTTTTTCTTTCAGTTTATTTATATGATGGATTATATATTGATAGATTTTCATATGTTGAACCCGCATCTCTGGGATGAAGCCTACTTGATCATAATGGATGATTTTTTGATGTATTCTTGGATTCGGTTTGCCAGTATTTTATTGAAAATTTTTGCACTGATGTTCATGAGTGAGATTGGTCTGTAATTCTCTTTCTTGGTTGAGTCTTTGTGTAGTTTTGGTATCAAGGTAACTATAGCTTCATAAAAAGAGTTTGGCAATGACTCTTCTGTTTCTATTATGTGGAACACATTAAGGAGTATAGGTATCAGCTCCTCTTGGAAGTTCTGGTAGAATTCTGTACTAAAATCATCTGGCCCTGGGATTTTTTTGGTTGGGAGGTTTTTGATGACAGCTTCTATTTCCTCATGACTTATAGGTTTATTTAAATTGTGCACCTGGTCTTGATTTAATTTTGGTATATGGTATTTATCTAAAAAATGTTCATTTCTTTCACATCTTCCAATTTTGTAAAGTACAGGCTTTTGTAGTAAGATCTAATGATTCTCTGAATTTCCTTAGTGTGTGTTGTTATGGCCCCCTTTTTATTTCTGATCTTGTTAATTTGCATGTTCTCTCTCCACCTTTTGATTAGTTTGATAGGGGTTTGTTAACTTGTTGATTTTCTCAAAGAACCATCTCGTTGTTTCATTGATTCTTTGGATTGTTTTCTGTGTTTCTATTTTGTTGATTTCAGCCCTCAATTTGATTATTTCCAGTCTTCTACTCTTCCTGGTGAGTCTGCTTCTTTTTTTTTTTCTAGAGCTTTCAGGTCTGCTGTTAAGTCTCTAATGTGAGCTTTCTTTATTTTCTTTATGTGGGCAATTAATGCTATGAACTTTCCTCTTAGCACTGCTTTCATAGTGTCCCATATGTCTGGGTATGTTGTGTTTTTATTTTCGTTGAATTTTTTGAGTGGGAGACATTTGATGACTGTTTCCATTTCTTTAACAGTTATAGGTTTATTTAATTTGCTTACTTGGGCTTGATTTTATTTTGGTAAAGTGATATTTATCCAGAAGATTGTTCATTTCCTTTAAGTTTTCCAATTTTGTTGAGTACAGGTTTTCAAATTATGATCTGATGATTCTCTGAATTTCCTCTATGTCTGTTGTTATGTCTCCCCAAAAGAAAATACCTGCCCAACAAAAAGCAGGAAGCAGTTTGGAGAGAACAATGACAAAATTCCTTAAATGATTGTTTATAAATATTTTTTTACATTTAAGGGGATATGCTATAGATATAAATACTTTGCATTGGTATGAATCTTGATTTATTGATACAAATTTAAGGTCAATTTTATTATATGTATATTTCTGCTCTTGATTAAGGTATTGATAGTGCAGCTCATTTAAAAATATAATGTATAATTTAAAAATATAGGTAAATAGATAGTCATCTATAATAGTCAAGCTTATAGTCTTATTAGTTAGATTTTCTAGATGTATAGAGATACATTTTATTCAAGATTTACAGAGATATATTTCAGATGGATAGGTATTCTTCAAAACTTTCAAAGACTTACAGAATATGTCATTTAAAATGTTTTAAGAACTAAGACTTTTCATGACAATGAGACACATCTGACAGCACCAATCTACTTCAAGAGGATGATGGGCATCAAAGAGACATTTGGGTAAGAAACTGCTCTTGCATTTACTGCATGATGGTGTGCTGTATGAACTGTATAGGCAGGACCCACAGAAAAATGATTGCTGAACTTTCCTAAAGAAGGTAAGACAACCTTCTTTAGGGTCCCTGCTTCATGAAAGACTACCAGACATTTTGCAGGACACAGAAGAAGGCAACTGATAAACTTTGCCAGTACAAGGCAAAACAGATCTTCAAATTTCCTATTTCATGAAAAAGTCAGCCAGATACTATAGGCCTGTAGGCTGAAGATGGATGCTCCAGTGTTACAAAAGAACTCTGGGTGACTGTCCAGGCAGGGAGATGTTTCTATCAATTCTAGAGTTTTGGAAGTTGCTTACAAAGCATTTCTGTTAACTTACCTAATATTATATCATTCTGGGATCTTTGATGGAGTTGAAGAATAGTTATAGCTTTCCTTAGTTATGATAAAAGATAAAGTAGATATTATTATTGTAACTATAATTCTTGCTTGATATCTGTTTTGTTATATGTAATTTCACTAGGTTAAAGCCAAAACTTTCCTTTCCTGGAGGTTATTTGGCATTCCTGAGGTCACTCAGCACTCCCAGAGGTTGCTCTGCAATTCCAAAGGTTGTTTGGGCCTGCTCCCACAGAGGTCACTTGCTTGGGCCAGAGGTTGCTGGCTCTGACCTGGTCCCATGGAGGTGGCTGGCTTGGGTCGGCTCCTGTGGAGGTCGCTGGCTTGAGTCTGCTCCAGAGGAGGTCACTGGCTCAAGCCTGCTCCAGTGGAGGTTGCTTGCTCAGACCTGGTCCCAAATGTAGAGTTGGAGGGTTGCCCTGTTGGCCTCTGTCTCATTTGGGTGCCTTCCTTTCTGATAGGCTCTCAGAACTCCTTTGCTTGCTCATTTTTCATGAGACAAGGTATCATATATCCCAGGCTGGCCTCAAGATAATATGTAGACAAGGGTGATCTTTAATTGTGCAACTTCCTGCTTTTAGGATATGCTGAGATTATAGGCACACATCACCCTGCCTGGTTTATGTAGAGCTGATCTCATATACTGGGTAACTGAAGGGAACAGGCCTGTCTTAACTTTAGACTTCATTACCTGTAGGATGAAATAAAGTTCAGGTTCCCAAGCCTTCAGTGTGATGGCTGAGACTGATGGGCAACCTGACGGGATCTGGACTCATTTCTCTCTCTCTCTCTCTCTCTCTCTCTCTCTCTCTCTCTCTCTCTCTCCTCTTCCGATCTCTCTCTCTCTCTCTCTCTCTCTCTTTGCTGTAGTTTTAGAGCCTGTCATGGAACTAGCTCTTGTAGACTAGGCTGGCCTCCAACTCACAGAGATCTGCCTGCCTCTGCCTCCTGAGTGCTGGGATTAAAGGCGTGCACCACCACCGCCAGGCCCAACCTCCTTTCTAAACCATAGATAAAGTCCTTCTGCCTCTTTAGTTCTTCAGAAACATTATGACAACAGAAGGAACAAATGGATCCGATTGCTTGGACTGAAAGAGCTGCACTGTATACCAGTTGACAATGATGGCAACATTCAAGGAAGTCCCTGATTTCTAAATTCTGATAGGTGAAAATTGTAACTGTAACTTGGCAACAAATGTTTGAGAATTTTATACTTATAAACCCCTGCTTCTGGCCCTGCTTGGGGCTGTCAGGAGAAACAAGGCTCCCGAGTCCTTGTCCTGCAGCCCTAATCTATCAGTGACTCCTTAGTGGTGAATTATTGAAATCTTTGGATCCATAAGTGTTGTCTCTCTCCTTCTTCATGGTGTGTTATGGGCTAGGTGTAACAGAAACCACTCTACCACTGAGCTATGGCTAAGTCCCCATTCTTTCCTTTTCTGAATGAAAATGCTTACTTTGGACCTCTATAATTTGGAAGTATGTAACATTCAGACATTCAGATATTGTATAATATTAATTTAAGATATGTTACATTCATTTATGCTGTGGAATATTTGCTTAATGATCCAGAGATGCGTTGCATTCTTTTATGCTGCATTTGTTTAAATCTATAAAGCTGTGTTACTGTGTCTGCCTAAAACACCTAATTGATATAATAAAGAACGGAATGGCCAATAACTAGGCAGGAAAGGGATGGGTGGGCCTGGCAGGCAGAGACAATAGATAGGAGAAGAAGAGTGAGTAGCTAGAAAAGGAAGAGAGGAGGACACCAGGGACCAGCCACCCAGCCACCCAGCCACCCAGCCACCCAGCCACCCAGCCACCCAGCCACCCAGCCAGGCACCAAGGAAGAAGGGAAGAAAGACAGAATAAAGAAAGGTAAAAAGCCCAGAGGCAACATGTAGTTAAACAGGATAATTTAAGTTAGAAAAGCTGGCAAGAAACAAGCCAGCAAGCTAAGGCCAGGCATGTATAAGTAAGAATAAATCTGTCTGTATTTATGTGGGAGCTGGTTGTTGAGACCCCAAAGAGTAAAGCAAGGAAACGAACAGAAAACATTCAGATAAAAATTTGCCTTGACAGCCTACAGAATGGGAAAAGATCTTCACCAATCCCACATCAGACAGAGGTCTGATCTTCAAAATATACAAAGAACTCAAGAAATTTGTCATCAAAAGAACAAATAATCCAATTTAAAAAAAGTGGGGTATGGACCTAAACAGAGAACTGTCAACAGAGGACTCTAAAATGGCTGAAAGACACTTAAGGAAATGCTCAACATCCTTAGTCATCAGAGAAATGCAAATCAAAACAACTCTGAGATGCTATCTTACACCTGTAAGAATGGCCAAGATCAAAAACACTGATGACAACTTATGCTGGAGAGGTTGTGGGGAAAAGGAAACACTTCTGCATTGCTGGTGGAAGTGCAAGCTGGTACAGCCTTTTTGGATTTCAGTATGGTGATTTCTCAGAATTTTAGAAAACAATCTATCTCAAGACTCAGCAATACTACACTTAGGTATATACCCAAAGGATGCTCAACTATGTTCATAACAACATTGTTTGTCATAGCCAGGACTTGGAAACAATCTAAATACCCCTCAGCCGAAGAATGGATCCAGATGGATCTAGAAAACATCATATTGAGTGAGGTAACCCAAACAGAGAAAGACAATTACCGTATATACACACTCATAAGCGGTTTTTAGACATAAAGCCAAAAAAAAAAAAAGCCTACAATTCACAATCCCAGAGAACCTAGACAACAAAGAGGATCCTAAAAGAGACATGGATCTAATCTACATGGGAAGTAGAAAAAGACAAGATCCCCTGAGTAAATTGGGAGCATGGGACCATGGGAGAGGGTCGGAGGGAAGGGAAGAAAAAAGTGGGTGAGAGGAGAAAAACATATAGCTCAATAAAAACAATTTAAATAAATCAATCAATAAAAAAGAATTTGCCTTGAGTCTCAGGAGACTGTTTGAGCCAGTCTCAATATGCTTGTATTTTCTAGAAGGCAACTGTCCCCAGTCCTCTGGCTCTTACATCTTCCACCTCTTCTTCCAACATGTTTCCTGAGCCTTAGGTGTAGGGACCCTTTACAGATGGTCTTTCAAGATGTCTGTGCCTGGGGTTTCAGAACAGTGACACAAAACTGACTAAAAACCAAATAATTGCACCCCCAAACTAACCCCAACTAACCCCCAACTAACCCCAACTAACTCCCAAACTAACCCCAACTAATCCCAAAGTAATCCCCAACTATTCCCCAACTAACCCCAAACTAATCCCAACTAGCCCCCAAACTAACCCCAACTAACCCCCAAACTAACCCCCAATTTAGCCCCACATGATGGTTTTTTTTTTTATAAAGCAGGTTTTTGTTTGCTTGTTTGTTTGCTTTTAGGCCTATGTGGGTGCAGGAGAGATGATCAGATGTAAAGAGTGCTGATTGCTCTTCCAGGGGACCCAGGTTTAATTCTCAGCCCTCACATGATAGCTAGTAACCATAATTACTGTTCCAGGGGACCTGACACCCTCTTCTGGCCTCTGCAGGCAATGCATGCATATGTTCACAGACAGATGATCTAAGAGAAAAACCCATACACGTAAGTATGACTTTTTAAAAAAAAAACTTATTTGAATTTAAGGTTATGAACAGTTGTCACTTCTGACAACTTTTTTTCATGACTCCAGTCAAGCCCTTACAAACTAGCGAGTGGATGTCGTATCTACCGTTTTATACATACACACACACACACACACACACACACACTCCACATATGAAGATAGAAGGAAGAGAATGGAAAGAGAGGAAAGATGGGGGAAAGAAGAGCAAGAAAGAAGGAAGTGATAAAACACCCTTTCTCTCAAATGCCATCGGACTTAGCATCTGTATGAAAGCAGAGAAAGGACTATTGTAGGGAGAAAGGGGACCAGTGAGACAATGTTGTAATATGAGCAGAGGGGCTGCGTCCCCAGCACCCCAGCCGCCTGCTCACCGGGCTAGTTTATGCCCCGAAATAACAACACACAAATTGTATTCTTTTAAACACTGCCTGGCCCATTAGTTTCAACCTCTTAACCCATTTCTAATAATCTATGTAGCCCACGAGGTAGCTTACCAGGGAGATTCTAGCCTATGTCCATCCTGGGTCGGAGCTTCATTGCGTGTGTCTCAGAGAGCAGAACTATCATGTCTACCCCGGAGAGCGGAGCATGGCGTCTCTGAGCTCACTTCCTCTTCCTCCCAGCATTCTGTTCTGTTTACTCCTCCCACCTATGTTTAACCTATCAGGGCCAAGCAGTTTCTTCATTGCTTAACCAATGAAATCAACAGATTGATATATGACACTCCCACATCAAGATGAGGGGCAGGGACAGGAAAGCGGAGGGCACTACAGTGATATGTAAGAAGGTGTCATAAGAAATCCCTTACTTCACACATTAAGTTAAAACAGCAATTAACAATAAAATACGCAGGATGTACAAAAATCATTTAAAATAATGAAAACATGGCAGTGTGTATCCAGCAACTGGATCTCACCCCCAGACTGCTTCCTGTCATTTGTCACTGCAAATGACAATGAACTTCTCTGTCACTGGTCCTGATGTTTTGAGTCCTAAGTTGGATTCACTGAGCTGATTTAACTTTGGGAGGAAGCAGAACTGAGAACTAAACCCAAGGTCTTGCTCCCAGAAGGCATGCGCCCTAACACTGAGCAACACCCCAGCCTTGATGCCTAGGTGGCAGAAACAGCTGAGCCCTGCTTTAATCCTGCGTCCCAAGTCTCCACCAAGGGGAGCATTCCCAGCATTCCCTCTTGTTCGCCGGGCTGGCGAGTTCCAATGTTCGTGTTCAACACAGACACCCTGCTATTTCCACATGGTTTGCAAGCTATGGCCCCCAGGGTCACTCTGCAGCATCGTCTCCTGGGGAGCGTTTTATAAGGCTCGTGCCTGAATTCAACCACAAGCCAATAAGACCAGACACTTGGAGTGGTGCCCATGGATTTTTTTGTGTGTGCATTTTAATTTTCTCAAGTAATTAGCAGGCAGCCTGCAGGACACATATTTACCAAAATGTCACGTGCTGTGACTTAGAAATTAAATATTTGAAAATGCAACATACCCAGACACTCATGATCAGATGTTCAAAGATCTAATTCATGCCTGATATTAAACTCCATTAGTTGTTTAAAGAAGCATACCTACATATTCTTTCCATGGCTAAACTCTAAAGCCTATGAAGCAGGAAGCAACAGTGGGGAGAATATTCCAGAATGACGACTTCCTGGACAATCATGGGTCCTTTTTTTTTTTTTTTTTCATTTTTTTTATTTTATTGAGAATAAAAAAAAAAGTTTCCGCCTCCTCCCAGCCTCCCATTTCCC